CAACTCAGCGCACCCTGGGGATGGGGACGGCATGGCAGTTTTTTAAGAATACTAAATATTAAAAACATGAGAAATGATAGAGAACTTCACCAAACAAATAAACTGCACTTTTATACACCAAGAATGAGCTTTTGGAGAAGTAAATCATAAAAATGATCCTCCTCATAACAACTACCCAAAATCCCTAGCAACACACTTACCCAAGGAGATAAAACATCTACAATAAAACTTCTGCCTCATGGGTAAACTGAGTGCCTACCAGGCACAAGTCCCTGGGTTCAGCTCTGTGTACTACCAAAACCAACAAATGAGAAGCCCTGTTGTTGTCAATTTGAGTTTAGAAACGTAAGTGACTCAGCAGGGAGCCAGGGTCCGCACTCTGTAAACATCCTTACCTTGTGCAAGATGAGGCCCGAACATGGTGGTAGCGCTACAGTTAGAATGGAAGAACGAAAGAAGCTTGCCCATACCTTCTATTCCTTGCTTGGCTGTCTTCTGCTGCCTTGTGTCCCTGCCGGTGCCACGCCACCCGCCCCGGAGCCAGCTGATGGTGGAACCGTGAGCTGAATAAACCCTTCCCTCTTTAACTTTGGGTGTTGGGTATTTTGTCTCACAAGGAGAGAAAAGTAAACGAGGCGAAATGGCACACACCTGCAACCCGTTACAGGGAGGCTGCTGCTGAGATCAAATGATCTCTCACCAGTGGGTCTGAGATCAGCCAGGGTCTCCAAAACAAAAAAAGAGGGCCGGGGAGATGGCTCCGTGGAATAAGCGCTTCCCTGACAAGCGCAAGGGCCTGAGTTCAATGCCCGGTTCCACAAAAAAACAAAACAAAAAAATCCTTTACCTTATCTGCAGAACCCCACGGACAGAAGTGGACACCAGAAGGTCTCTAAGAGCGTCTGTGATAGGTCATTACAAAGTATCTGACACCAGCCACTTCCCATCCTGATAGCATGGCACAGAGTACAATCCAAAAACACGTTAGGAGGCAGCCATGTAGCTGGGTGGGGCTGCTGGCTTGCGCCTGGAATCCCAGCTCTCCAGAGGCTCGCACAGGCGGATTACTACGAGTTGATTTGAGGCCAGTCTGACAGAACAAAGTCCTGACTCAAAAACCCCAGTAGCACTTACGATCTTAAGAACAGAGCTGGGGGCCGGAGAGAGAGCTCAGTAGAACAAGTGCTTCCCTGGCAAGCGCAAGAGTCTTGAGTTCAATCCCGGGTTCCAAAAAAAAACAAAAAAAACAAAAAAACCCCGAAAAACAGAGCTGCTGTGCTGAGAAATGGACAGAAAACTGCCCCATTATAATGCTGGGAGGCCACTGGGGCTCAACCCGGATGCCAGGATGGCTTTTTGTGGTTTTCTGAATCAGGACCTTGCTAAGTGGCATTGACCAACTCAGCTGCCCCGCCCAGTTTCAATATTCAAATCACGTTGTGCTTCATCACTGGAACTTCACCAGAAGGGGGGTTCTGCGCAGGGGTTAACTTGCAAAAACTCCCCTGGGCAAATGGAATCACGGAGAAAGAGGCAGCAGTGACCAGGGCTGGGGCAAGGCAGCTGCCAGGATGA